AAATGAGCGAACATAATTACTTCGCATTACTTGCCACCATTTACCAGTGGTGGTGCTTACATTTGACTGGTTAGTTAAGGTCAAATCTTCCCTCACTCCAGAATGTTTGGCCTCTTTAGCCTGCAAAGAGACAATGCCATAACCCACCCTAGATCTTGTAAACAGCAAATTTGCATGATAGGGAATGGCATATCCAACTGTCCATGTTGTGACATTAACACAAATGTACCAAAGTTGTTGGGTACACTCTAACTCACGTACTCGAAAATTGTCCTTAACAAATCCTGTTTTATTCTCCTCCTTGTTTTTACAATGTGTCTTTTAATTTCTGCTCTCACACACAAAAACTAATTTTATCATCTCCCAAGCGTCTCCTGTTACGACCTGGTGATCTAGCCTACACGTGCTTATGCAACTTTTTGAATTGCATCATCTCTAAAAGCGTCTCCTGTGTGCTTACGCAACTTCCGTTCAACTGGATGAAAAAAGAAAAGGCATCAAGTTAAAATACATACTACACAGTTCTTTCAGTTCTGCAACCTAAGCAGAATTGGTCTCTATTCTATTAAAAAGTCCTCCTGCATTTATCAGATACTCACCTATCTTGCTAAGAGCCAGTCGTTGGATTGTTTATGCCTCTCTTTCATCTTCACTTTCTTAAGTGTGAACTAAACAATGGTAATATCAAGCCAATGCAATGGCTTGATTGCCAATAAGCCTAACTGGTAACTTGTTATACCTGTTCTAGCTTCATCACTTAAATGTTCTTTTACTCTTGAAGCCAAGTATCCCAGTCCAAATCCCCCCTCCCCCACCTGATGTATGCCTTACATGAGGAAAAGTTCTCCTTCAAGTTTTGCTTTAGGTCCACCTCTGATTTCTGTAACATCCCCTGCTTCCTAGCACGCTCCCCAACACTGTCTGTACCAGAAGCCCTCAAAAGAGTCTTTATTCCCTATAGGTGCTCCCAGAGCAGAAACAAAAGGATCAAACTTTCCTCTTCCCACTGCCTCTAAGTACAGGAGATCAATATAATGTTGGCAAGCAGTAATATCACAATGCATGGGTTTTGGCCTTAACCTGTCTGGAGAATGCCCAATCCTACCTAGGAAGACCAAACTGTCGGATGCCATTTTCAGCTGTGAACTGTAACTTTCTGGAATTTCAATGTTTTTTTCTGAAAGGTTTGGGGGGAGGAGAGACAGGAATATTGTTCACCTTTTCAGTATTAGAGGTTCTCATTTCCTTAGTGTAATGTTTCCGGGTGTTATCTTTACCCATTCCAAAACTACCCTCCATAGTGTTCATGTTTCCTTTATGAACATTTGAATTTGGGGAAGAATATGTAGCTGCCTGGTTGAGTTCATTGGCAGGCCAGCTCTGCCAGGATATGCCTGCTCCTGGCTGAAATTCAACGGTGCACCCTTCATCACAAACAGTTAAAACATTACCTTCAAACATTTTCATCTCTTCAGTGAGCTGCTTTCTGAGGTCATGCGTTATTTGATCTTTCTCTATTATATTGTAATAGAGAAAGGGCATTACATTACTTACATTGTCATTGACATTGTCAGCTCATTGACATTGTCATTTTCATTGTCCTTGACATTGACATTGACATTGACATCGCATTGTCATTGACATCTCATTGACTTTGACATTGTCAGCTCATTTGTTTCAGGAGCTCTACCATCTGAGAACTGAAAAATTAAATGATTTTCATTTTCATTGAACCAGACAAGTTTACAAGAAAGATGGGGAACTCTCATGTGCAAATAAATAATCAGAAACACCTGATGTCCCAAGTTAACATCGTCTCCCCACCCCCCTCTTAAGTACAACACTTTGATACAATTTGTCACCCAAAGAAAAACTCGGTAAAATATTTCCATTTCTACTACAAAGACGATAGGATTCCACAGAACTTGGTTTTCTATGAAGACGCAAAGTAATAAAGTTTACCTAAATCAATTACGGGTCAAGCAATCATAAATCCTTAGGGAAAAATTAGGCGATGGCCACAGGTATCCGGAAAGGATACGATATCCTTATCCCGAAATGATACTTTGGAAATGAACACTGCTCTTAAAGGAACCAAGTTTAGTATCAATATTTCTTTTTAACTTGTCAATGATTCGATCTACAAGATCGGCAATAAGTTTTAAACCGTAAGAGCTTCTCCGTGGGATTATTCGCATGTGGTCACCTCCAGATGTATCGCCAGCAGCAGGGTTCATATTACAAGTGTAGAAATTATCGTAACCGTATTCGCTATCTTAAATCGATCTGGAAACTTGGGGTGAACACTCTTGCACATGACCTCTCTATATACTTGGTTAAATTACAAATGATTGCTCATTATTAGAATGTGTAATAAATTCTCGTCAGGAAATATAAGATAATACACTTGCATAAATGTGCCCTCCGACCAAAGGGAAATTTATATTCTACATACATGTAGACCTGAGATAAAATTCACTGTAGTTTCAGTACTTTCCGGATTGATATATCAAGGAAATATCATACAGAAGTTAAAAGAAAAATCATTTTTTTCTGCAAATGTTTCTTTTCAAGCTAGAATTGAATCTCGATTCCTGGGTTGATACACACATATGCGATAGACCGTCAAACAAAGAATCTTTCTCTCTTTCTTTTTTATTCTATTCTTTGGAGCGTTCTTATATCAAAGCGGAGAACTGGAATCTATACTTGAAGAAATTACCAAAGTATCTTGCGAACATAGTGTAGTACACCGCAGATAAATTGAAAAGCGTTTACTCACGTCCGTTACATACTTACTCTTAACCAAAAGAAGAACTGCATATCCTAGAATAAATCAAATACATGCGATGTATATGCATGCAAATCCGTAAATCCTGAGTCTATTACAAGTTGTTGCTTACTGTTGGTCGCGGATCGTTATTAATTTATCGAGAATTACGATCTAGACTTGTCTTTTATTCCAAAAAGGATCATGATTACACAGTATCTTATACTGGACTAAGACTCTACCTATAATTTTCTATCTAAAAAGCACTAACTAAACACGGAGACGTCAGTCTAACCAAACTATCAAGAGACCAAAAAGCGATTAGTAAAGTAACCAGATCATTCGGCTTAAATGAAAACCCCGAAAACTTCTTAAAGTTCTAAATTAAGGGATAACAAATTGGCGTAAACGAAATTTCAAAACAAAAATATATTATCAACACACCGACACTGTTATGTATTCACAGGTTGTACCTGATCTGGTTTCAGTCATCGTTACCACGCTCTGGTCTTTGGCTGGCTCATAATGACATTTGTAAATTAATTGCAAAGATTGCAAAAATTACAAAAATTGCGAAAAAACTATCTATCCTTACATTTCATAATGGGAAAGAAAAAGCTTCCTTTCCACAAGGCTAGGCTTTTAATTTTGCATTACTGCGCAGCACCTTATTACGAAAAATTGATACACTGTTTCAAATGCTCCTTGACAAAACGACTGTTCTCAGTTAATTTCTTAATGGTAAAGGAAATGCCACCAAAGAAAGCACGAACGCCCTGTGGATTCTCAGAAATAGGATTGGCCAATGGCTAATACATGTTACATGGATGGATGTCTGATATATCGGCTCCGCGCGATCAACGAAATGTAATAGTGCAATGGACACGTTTGGCACGAAATATGAACCTCTTGCAGTATCAGTAGCTTTGCTTCTTACCCAAAACATTTCTCACCACTTGAAGGTATTGATGATACGATAATACATTCATATCAGCAATGCAGCTGAACGCCCGTTACACAAACTAACTGCCATCATTTGTTGACAGGGTTTTTAGCAACAACCAGTTGGAGGACTTACCAAAAGAGATATTCAAGAACAATACCAACCTATGGTTCCTGTAAGTACAAAATTGAGCCTATTCCTCCTAATTTTAATCCTGCAAGGAATGTAAAAGGACAATGCACAGGGAAAACCAAAGTGTCAAGAGATAGTTAACAGTTACTACACTGAGATGATCAGACATATTCACCAAAGTTAAAAAAAAAATGCACTATTGTTTAAAATAGAATATTGATAGATAAGGCCACACTTTGTAGTCGTCAGTGAGACAATCGTTATCATATATGTATATCAACCCAGTCCACAGGTTCTTAGCCTAGTTACCCTTCGAGTTTTAGGGTGGGAGGAAGGAGGTGGGATGGAAAGTTGCGTAGCCACTGGAGGCTTATTTCTTCCATCTTAGGGGGAAGGAAATGCGTCCACTTCCGCTTGATTCTGCCGGCGTGAATTCCCTAGCGTCCTTTTCGGGATAAAAAGCTTTACGGGATACCAGGACAAGACATGAAATGAATGATAATCTTCGTTCTGCTGTGAATTCAAAGTATTTTGTAGGGGGCATGGGCGGAACGTTGAAAGGAAAAGAGGCTGTAGTCCAATATCTCTACCAATAGAATATAAATTACGCTAACAATAACGCTTTAGATATATTATGACGAAATATATACGTAAGAAGTACTTAAATCTTTCAATTCTACAAGAAATAAGGTGACTATGGTGGGAAGAGAATCAATTTAAATTGAATAAACCTATCTGAGACTCTCATGACAAGAATATAATGAGTAATATAAGAGATATTGTTTGATAACATTTTCATTTCTCAACTTAAAGTCAGCCTAAGCACATATAATCAGGGACAATGACACATACAGTGTATATATCTAGAAGAAAATCATCAAATGTTACAACTTTCATATTACAGCCCTTATACCGCGAGGGATAATTTGTTTTGGTTACAATGCGAACAATTTTTCGAATAATACTTGCTTACTTGCTATAAAAGATATTTAACGCGATGACAAAAAAATACAGCGTAGGAAGAAATTTTTCTGACTCTTCAGTTACAGGGTAACAAGAACTTGGTTACCTTGTTTCCTTTTATTATAAGTTATTTTGATGTTTTCCAAGCCTTTTACTTTTTAATTTTGCGTGGGGCGGTGGAAACATTAAACATATTAAAGAGGTGTTCAATATTGAACCAGAAATATTTTGTTAAGATTCAGGTGTAAATTTAAAGAAAATTGTTCAAAACCAATAGTGGAAAAACAAAAACAGGATAGAACAGAATATGATAGCAGCCTTATTTAAGACATTCAAACTTTCTGCTTATTTTGATTTAGACAAATCCGTGGGCGAATAATCTTTCTTATCCACCCTTAGGAGCGAACATCACTAATCATAAAAAAAGGAAAGTTTGTCTAATACAGCTTGAATGCAAGACTACTCTGTCGGGTTTCTTTTGATTTTAAAAGCCTCAGCTGATTCCTTAGGAGAGATACAAATTTTATTCCCTCTCTCTGTCTTGCGAAATAAGCCTGATCGTATCATATGAATCTGTGGAACGGCTGTAGGTTTGGAGTCTTACTTAATACTGGTGTAATAAGAACAAGTAAAATTTGACCTTCAAGACATGCATTTGAATGGGTTATATTGCTCATTTATCAAACTATGCACCTGGAAAGTTTGGCTGTTGAAATTAAGTCTTGTCTTGAAAGTTAAATAAAACGTGATGCCACCCAAGCGCCATGTAAGCGTGCAGAATTCGATGTTCATTTCAAGCTAATTATGTTTGTAGAAAATACACAGAAAAATCAAATGACCATTAAACGGCTTCAGCATCGTTACGTTTCCTCTGTGAAGCTGTGAATGTAAAGCAAAGTAGTTTTTAATCTTTTAATCTTTCTTAATCACGTTTTAAGTGCCAGCGTGTCTCTTCACGCATGTTAACACGGCTGATGGGATTT